TCAAGCAAGAATGTCTAGCAAAGAGTGTCCAGCAAGAGTGCCCAGCAGACGTGTCAAGCAAGAGTGTCTAGCAAAGAGTGGCCAGCAAACGTGTCAAGCAAGAGTGTCAAGCAAGAGTGTCTAGCAAAGAGGGTCAAGATAGAGTGTCTAGCAAAGAGTGTCAAGAAAGAGTGTCAAGAAAGAGTGTCAAGCAAGAATGTCTGGCAAAGAGTGTGTCAAGAGAAAGTGTCAAGAAAGATTGTCTAGCAAAGAGTGTCCAGCAAGAGTGTCAAGCAAGAGTGTCGCGTAAAGAGTGTCCAGCAAGAGCGTGAAGCAAGAGTGTCCAGCAAGAGTGTCAAGCAAGAGTGTCAAGAACAAGTGTCAAGAAAAATTGTTTAGCAAAGAGTGTCAAGAAAGAGTTTCAAGCAAGACTGTTTAGCAAGAGAAAGTCGCGTGGAAGATGCTCGTTTTTGGAAGCTTTGATTGTCGCTTCTGGTGAAAGTCTCGTGAGAAACGCTTGTTTTCAAGAGTGTCAAGCAAGAGTGTCCAGCAAGAGTGTCAAGCAAAAATGTCAAGCAAGAATGTCCTGTAAAAGTATCCAGCAAACTAAGTGTCAAGCAAGAGTGTCAAGCAAGAGTGCCCAGCAAGAGTGACAAGAGAAAGTGTCAAGAAAGATTGTCTAGCAAAGTGTGTCAGGAAAGAGTGTCTAGACGGCTGGGAGGTGCTGGCGCTGCTTTAGTTGATGACTCTGCGAGTCATCTCCGAAAACAAGAACGCTTTGAGTGCTACGGGGGTTCGTGGGTTCTATCAGGTTTTTTATCTCTGGGGGATGTGGCAGCCAAGTTGAAAATGGTCAGAGGGCCGCGACACCAGCCCCCCAAAACGACTCCCTGAACCCCACTTGTGTTGCTCCACTGCTGCCACCGCTGAGGCGAATTCCACGGCGTGGGCTTGACGGCGTCGGGCCACGTGCTGCGCTGGGGTCAGGAGCAAGGTCCTGACGTTCCCTTGGCGTCCTGGCGGCGTGGGTGGTGACACGGAAGACGCTGCGTTCCGCGGAGAACTCGAGAGGCCCTGGAGGCCAGCATTGGACATGGAGAGTTGGACTCGAGTCCTCAAGAATGTGGAGTGAAGATCCATCTTTGGTTGGAGGCCGTCGCTCTTAGGTTGGGGGCCATCACTACTAGGTTGGAGGCTATCAATCGCTACTAGGTTGGAGGCCATTGCTTCAATGCTGCTGTTAGGTCCTCAAGAAGGTCGAGTGAAGATCCATCCCAGACACGACCTGTCTGGGACTGCTATATTTGTCGATCAGTTGGGGTGGTTTGGGGGGTCAATGTAGGCATATATACCAGTCGTGTCTGGGCATGGTAGTGACCGTTCCAAACCCAAAACCACGGCGCACATCACCTGAACAGGGCGAGGACCTCCATGTCTTGACGTACCAGACATCAATTTTTTTGCAGGTACAGGAAGAGACAGGTCTCCTCAGAGGTCTTTTGAAGATCGCAGGGAGCTTCACCGTCACTCTTTTGCACCGGGCCATGGGCCAGGCCCCATGTGGGTGTGTAGCTCAAGACATGGAAGACCTGCCGTGGAGTTCCGACCCCACGGGGTTCGGGAAATAGACCATGTCTACCCATCAGTCCCCTCTCTCCGTCTGAAATCGGCTAAAGCAGCTTGCCAGACCGGATGAACGGAGTAGACTGGTGGAGCAGCTGCGTCGTTTGACGTGGTTTGCACCGAAAAACCCAGTTGGGGGAGTACTACACTATCCGATCGTTACCATCTCCACACCAAGGATGGTGACAATTCAGGTTTGTGGGATATAATTTATATATATAGTTTATAATTGCTGCAGTTGCATTCCATGTCATAGCATGTTCGAGCTTGGGTTGCATCTAGCTGCCCTTTTGAGAGCATCGAGCCCGCCCAGAGAAAAGAGAGCGAGAGTCGTCCGCTATCAGTGACGCTTAGCGGAGGTGCGCTGTTTTTCGTTTGGGACCTCGTGCATGAGGTTATGGGCCCAAGAAGGGCGACCCTGCAGCGGTGATGTCGCTTCAGCATCGCCGAAGGAAGGCGACAGCTGAGGAGCTGGCTCAGGGGCAAAAAGAAATGAAGGAAGCGCAAAGGCGCCTCGAACGGGAGATCATGACCAGTGGTGAGCTTCCGCTAGAGGATGGGCTGGTGGGAGAAGAGATAGAGGTGGTGGAAAAGGGGGAAAGAGGAAAGAGAAAAGCACGTCCTCGCATGAATGTCGAACGACCACTACCCCCTCGACGACCATCGAGCCGCAGACAGGCGGAAGCACTAGGGTGACGAATTCGGTTGCTGGCCGAACTCCTGAGGTGAAAGGACCAGCATCCGCAAAGAAAGAAAGGTCTGAAGAAAGGCCAAAGCCGAAAGAAGAAGTTGAAGCCTTGGAGGACTTAGCCGAGGACAAAGGGTCGTGTGAGAAAGGTCAGTTGGTTGAAGCGCAACAGGCCCTTGTTGAGACCCACCACATGGCGACCCCTCCTGAAGAAGTGCAACCCCTGTTCACTAGAGAACAGATACATGGCCTCCACAGCATGTATGAACAGGCACCGCTCCTCTATCCCGACTTCCAGACACCGCAGTCAGCCCTTCGACGTCCAGGGTTCTTGGCTGAAGAAGAGGGTCAAATGTGAGAAGATCCGAAGAGTGTAAGAGAAGTAAGAAGATATGAAGAGTGGAGAAGAATGAAAGAAGAAAAGGACTATGAGCGGATTGAACGTGAAGAAATGGCACGCCAGCTTCAGTCCGTGATGGTCGAAAACCGTCGTTTACGTGAACAAGCAACTGGCATCTTTCCTTTGTTGAAGTCGAAGGAAGAAGAAGAAGATGCCAGGAGAAGACAGGTGAACCAGCTGTTCGAGGAGAATCGACTCCTAAAAACACAGCTGCAGCGCCTCATGACCGCTCACGCTGAGGCAAAGGAGGATGATGGTCTCTTTGCAACTCCCAACGGTAGTGCAGATCCCGAAGTCCTTCCAAGCCAAGAAGCTGAGGCACCAGAAGATCCTGAAGATCCTGAAGTACCTGGCCCCGAACCTGAGAAGAGTGGGAAAGGGAAAGGTGGAAAGAAAGTGAAGGAAGCAAATGGTGGAGGTGGCGAGACTTTGCCACCCCAAACGCTTGAGATCATTTTGAAACTCATGCAAGGGATGCAAGACATCCAAAAGAAGCTTGCAAAGCCCTCGCACAAAGAAGATGAAACGGTTCAGGAGGTGATCCAGCGAGGTGTAGAACTTCCTCGACTACCTGAATGGTCGCCGGAAACTGGACCGATCGATTTTTCTGATTGGATGCTGGTTTTGGCTCCTTTGATGGGTGACTTGAGCACCAACTCCGAAGAATGGTGGCAGTCGACCGTCGAGACCGCGAAGTCTTGGTACTTGTCCCACATGAGCAAGTCCCCCATGGAAAGATTGCACCACCAACCATCGTCGCCTCCAACCTTGACACAAAAGAGATGGGCTAGGTTGGAACGAAGGGCATCTTCGTTGCTGTTGGCCGCAATTCCAGAAGGCCTGAAAGAAGAGGTGGTGTCATCTCGAAGCTTGACGACCCTTGGCATACTCACCAAAGGTATGATTTTGTACCAACCAGGTGGCTTGGCTGAAAAATCAGCCATTTTGGTTGCTCTGGAAAGCCCGCAAGAAGCTCAGACGCTTGCCGGTGGTGTCTCCATCCTACGCCGTTGGTTGAGATGGAAAAGAAGAGGAGAAGAATTGGGGGTATCCATTCCGGATGCCACACAATTGGTGAAGGGCTTGAGCAAGATGATGAAGAAGCTCAGTGCCACCAATGCCGATTTGAAGTTTCGGCTCCAACTTGCTCGCAATCAGCTGATGGTTGATACGGTACCAACTCAAGAGTCCGTCACCAAGTACAGCGAGCATCTTCTAGCAGAACTTGAACAAATGGGCCACCAAACAAAGAAGAAAGAAGCTATGATCGACCTCCCCAAGGCGAAGAAGTTTGAGGAGCAGGCCTTCAGGGAGAAGAAAGATTGGAAAGAAACAAGGGAAGGAGATGAAAAAGAAAAAGAACAAGAAAAAGGGAAGTGCCGATTCTTCCTATCGGAATCGGGGTGCCGCAGAGGCAAAAGCTGCGGCTTCTCCCATGAACAGCGTGATGACGATGAACTGGAGTGAAGCCACATTTCACCAAAAGCCTCTCGGTGGCTTGGCAGTCAAGCCAACAACGGTGGGGGGAAGTCTTGACCTCACACCATCAGACCATGCCACAAAGAAGATTGCTCATGGCCAAATCAAAGGATCATGGGAACTCGCGAGGTGGCCACCAGGCATGATGACGATGATTGCCCACGCCCTCATGGAACAAGTGATGAAGAGCCCAGCCAAAATCAGGGTCTTGTCATGGGCAGAGCATATAGCCTTCGGTCACACACCTGCGAGAAGGGACTGTAAAGTATGTCAAGAAAATCAGCAGAGCTCACCTCACAAGAAAGTCAAAAGGCCGCTAGCTGGCGTTCTTTCTTTGGACACTGCAGGTCCTCTCATTCCGGCCTACAACCAAGGAGGCCATATGGCTTGCTACTTCCTCGTCGGTGCTTTGACTTGGGCCGTTCCAAAAGGACGCACTGAAGAAGGAGGTCAAGAAGAATCAAGTGAGGAAGATGAAGAAGCCCTTGTGAGGATAGAGCCTGGTGAAGATGCTGACGAAGACCCTGGTGAAGACCATGGTGCAGAAGATGAACCAAGAAAGTGAAGGTCATGAAGAAAAAGAAAAGGATGAAGAGGATGAAGTCGAACCCCAAGAAGATGAAGAACCAAGAGGTGGCGGCCTGACCGATGCAGAAGAACAGGCCGGTGAAGACCTCAAGTTGGATGACTATGATCCCAATCCAGCACCACTTGAGCCTCCGACATCTGATGAACTCCAACAGTATATGACATCAAGGTCTTTCGCGTTGCGATACCAATGCACACCAAAACGTCCAAGGAGGTCACAAGAACTACGATGGAAATGGTGCTGAGGTTGAGGATGGATGGATATACGGTGCACCGTATCCATACAGATCAAGGACGTGAATTTGCAGCTCACTTCCTGGAATGGACCAGGAGAAGGGGCATCATTGTCACCAAGACGGCTGGAGATGAACCCCAGTCGAATGGCAGGGCAGAAACCACTGTCAAGATCTTCAAGAATATGGTCAGGAAAGCTTTGCATCAAGCCGGTGAGAAGGCTAAGTGGTGGCCCTGGGCTCTGAAGCATTGCAGCGAAGTCCAAAAAGAGCACATCGCATCTGTGAGAAGCCGGACTTTCCGCACTTCATGCAAGATGTCCTGATTCGAAAAAGAAGGTGGAAGAAAGGAGATTTTTCCTCTACAATGGAAGTTGTCCGCTACTTGGCTCCTTCGCCAGAAAACCATGGCCATTGGGTGGCGAAAGATGGAGAGTCCCCAAGGTTGACTCGATGCTTCGTCAAGAAACTCCAAGAACCACCAACAGAAGGCCATTGGATTGCTATGGAGCGAGAATTGCTGGATGGACTTTCGCTCCGAAGAAGGCTGAGAGAGAAGTCTACAGTCAAGAAGATTCAAGGAAGAAAAGAAGATGAAGAAAAGAAAACGGAAACCAAGAATCGCGTCAAGATGGTCTTGGCTGAAGAGATGAAGACCCTCTACGGCGATCATGAAAAGGATGACAGAGAAAGAAGATGAGGAAGAAGAGGAAGTCTTGCAGACGAAAATCGTCTCGGCAAAGGAGGTCATAGCCGAATGGGAAAAGTGGATTCCGTCGGCCACGAATGAGGTTGACTCCCTCATCATTGAAAAGGCTGCACTCAAGCCACTGGAGCCCGACATCGTGCAGCAGATGATTCAAGAAGAAGAAAGAAACGGGGTGAAGATAGAAGTGATTCCCTCAAAAGTGGTCTACTCCAAGAAGCCCGGAAAAAAGGGAGGAAAAAGAAAGGTTCGATGGGTGGTGTGCGGGAACTTCGAATCTCGTTCACCGGATGAAGAAAACTACTCCTCTGGGGCAGATGCCACCGCCTTCAGAGTGCTTTGCCGGTTGTCAGCCCAACGTCAGTGGGTTGGCTATATATATGGTGGATGTCAAAACTGCCTTTCTCAACGCCGACATGGACACCTGTGAAAGCTCCCAGCTGCTGCTCATTGCTCCACCTGGCTTGTTTGTGGAGAAAGGATTGCTGAAGAAGGGTGTCATGTACGTGCCCGAAAAAGCCATCTATGGTCTCCGACGATCACCCAAGCTGTGGGGGATGCACCGTGATCGCATCCTACAAGAACTGGAGGTGGATTTGGAGCTGGAGGATGGAACCCAAAAGTGTCTGCACCTTGAAGCACTCGCATCCAAGCAGAATCTCTGGCAGGTGCGGTTCAAGGGGGAGGAAGAGTTGAGAGGTCTGCTGATGACCTACGTCGATGACATCTTTGTCGTTGGATCCCCGCCCATTGCTCAAGCTCTCATCGCCAAGATCCAAACCACATGGAAAACCTCACCGCCAGAGACCGTGGGAGTAGAAGGTGTGAAGTTTTTGGGAATGGAAGTGGTGAGAAAGAAGGGCGATCAAGGCCTAGATGAATGGTGGATCACTCAAAGATCCTACGTCACCGACCTCCTGGCATCTGATGAAGCAGCTTGGAAGGTCAAGAAAGTTCCAATCTCAAAAGATCAAAGCCTCATGGCCAAAGATGAAGGCCTCACAAGTCCAGAAGCGGTTCGCTCGTCCCAGAAAGTCGTTGGCGAGCTACTATGGTTGGTGACCAGATCACGCCCTGACCTGATGTACTCGGTGTCAAGGATGGCACAAGAGTTCTCAGCGGCACCAAGGCTGTACAAGAAGCAGGAGCACAAGCCAAAGCCTATTTGTGGGCCACAAAAGACCAAGGGCTGTGCTACAAGAAAGAAGAAGAAGAAGAAAACCAAGTCATTCACGTCTACACCGACGCCAGCTTCGCTCCATATGGTTAAGAGTCACACGGCTGCACCATCGTTTTGGCAGGTGGAAGTCCCCTGTTCTGGAGAGCAGGAAAGCAGACCACCATAGCCCTCTCAACAGCCGAAAGTGAGCTCTATGAAGTGATTGAGAGGGTATGATCGCAGGCGAGTCAGTGGGAGTGATATTGGAAGAGTTGATGGGGGATCTCCCTCATATGGCATGGACAGACAGCCAAAGCGGTTAGCCATCCTCACCAACGATGGAGGCTCATGGCGAACCCGCCACCTACGTGCCCGGGCTGCATTCGCCAGACAGGCGATTCAAAGCGGCCAATTGGCCATTGGACATATCCCACGGGAAAGTCCATCGTTGCTGACATTGGGACCAAGCCCTTGGGATCCTATCTCCCCACTCCAACTCAGTCTCCAGCGCCGCAAGCTTCACACTCCACTCAGTCTTCAGAGACTTCGTTCACTCCACACCCAACTCAGTCTTCAGTGCCTCCCACTCCACCTTTGGCTTCAGGTGGAGGACCTATGACCCCGGTCGTGATCTGGGGGCAGGCCATTCAGTCAGCTGGGATGGGAGCCACTCCACCAGCTGTGAAGAAAGGAAGAAAATGATGAAAAAGAAGAAGAAGAAGAGAAGGGAGCATCATCAAGCTCCCAAGCGCCCAAGATGAAAGCGATTCCACCTCTGCCACAAAGGCAGAACTCACCAGTGCAGAGGGGAGGGAACAGCCAAAATCCTCCTCCAAGCACGACAGAGCCGGTTCCAGAAATTCCGGTGCTGACCACCCGCTATGGCCGTGTTTTCCATGGCACCACAAACTGCGACTACCTCAGAGCTCCAAAGACAGGAGTCAACCGAAGAAGCAGGTGGTGCTCGATGTGTCGGCCTACGGATCGCATGACACCTGATGTGGTTTGGTGCAGGACATGGGGTGGAGACGCTCACTCCAATAGATCCTGTGCCAACTTGGGTATAGAAGTGCTCCGCTACACAAAGTGCACAAGATGCCATCGAGATGGCACAAGGGCAGGTTGAGCTGGTGAAAAGGCCGCAGGCCGTTGTTTGCTGGTGAAAGGGCTACAGGCCGTTTTTTGCTGGTGGAAGGGCCGCGGAGCCTTGAACTTTGAGAAGAGTTGAAAGAAAGTTGGTGCCGCCTGGACGTCGCGCCAAAGGGGGAGTGCTGCAGTTGCATTCCATGTCATAGCATGTTCGAGCTTGGGTTGCATCTAGCTGCCTTTTGAGAGCATCGAGCCCGCCCAGAGAAAAGAGAGCGAGAGTCGTCCGCTATCAGCGACGCTTAGCGGAGGTGCGCTGTTTTTCGTTTGGGACCTCGTGCGTGAATAATATTGCATATTTATTTTTGTTGTTACTACAAAGAAGACACTGGTTGAGTCCTCATGACTCTCACGTGACTCGTCACTTCGTCTTCCGATCCGCCAGCGGCTCCGCACGAAGGGTCTCAGGGCCCTGCACTCGGTCGCTCCTCTTCTCAGGCGAGACAAGCCTTGGACGACCCCAAGACGCGTGGCCCCCCGGCGGGGTCAGCCAGCGGTCAGCTGGCGGGCGCGGGAACATGGCGGACCGTGGCGGAACATGGGCGGGTGTTTTTCCCGAACGAACGTGGACCTGGGCGGAGATAGAATCGAGCTGAGGATACAATCCTTTGGGGAAGACCTCGCTTTGTAGAAAAACAGACTCTTTTCAAAAGAAGGACCGCCCTCTTTTGAAGCCCTTCAAAAGGCCGCCGGGTAGCATGATTTGTCACTGTGCAGGGTTGGTGGAGGCCCTGCCACCCGGAGCCGATTGGACTGGACTTTGGTAGAGAGAAGCAGTACTCGAAAACAAGGTTTTCCGCACTGCAGGCTCCTCCCAGAAGTACCAACAGACTCGGAGAACTGAAAAACCTTGCCATGCTTCTGGGGATTAGAAGGTGTCATGGACGTCTAGTTTGCATGGGTAAAACCACCGGCGGATTTTTTTGCCAGCGTGTTCATACTATTGTAATCTATATTGTTCAATGTGGCCAAGTCAGAGAACTGTTGCTGTTGGTATCTGTCGTGTTTGTTGGTGACTATAGTTCAATACACTTGTACATGGCTTCCAAGAGATGTCTTTGGACTCTACGTGACTTCGGGCAGAGCCAGAGGTCGCCGGAGCTTCTGTACTGGGTGACTGGAGGACAAACAAGAACTTCACCTCACAAGTCCAGTCTGACCCAGTAAGACCTGGTCCTTTACCTCATTGAGTAGTGTTTTTGTATGACCATCTAAAATGAGGTCCAACTGACCAGTAAAGATACACGCTATTGTTCGTGGAGGTCTGCGAAACCAACACACTCAAACTCGGACTGTAGACTTGGCCCAGCCCACGCCGATGGATTGAAGACCCACCGTGCTGGTCGCTGTATTGAGATGTTGCACATGATACTTGCAGCTGTGGCTGTGTCACTGGAAGGCAAGAAAGTACAAGTACCATCAAACCTGTTGCTGGTCGGCGGCTTTGCGAAGTGTGGCACTTCACATATCCACAAAGTGCTGGCCTCGCATCCGAAAGTCTTTGCCTTGCGGAAGGAAATCAGGCCACTTTCGAGGAATTTGACTGAAGCGAAGCTCTACGAGCAGGTGTTTGGGATGAGAGGCTTTTCTAGATGTTGATAGAAGATGCCGAGTCTCCGAGTCGCAAGAACGCTGGACGCTACTAGGGGCTCCTGGCATCGCTACTAGGAGCAAGGACGCTACTAGTAGCTCCGGGCCGTACTACTAGGAACAATGTTTGCTATTAGAAACAATAAATAAATAGAAAGGGCTAACGCCCTGGCGCCGCCGACCCCAATTAATGGGCGATAAGCGAACAGGACAGGATGGGAGAGGTTGGCGCACGCAAAGGGTTCGTGTGGGGGATGAGAGGCAAGATCGACTACTTCAAAACTCTGCCCAGAGGGATCCACAGGCGATTCAATCGTACAGTAACTTTTTGACAGATCTGGTACGACTGGAAGCCTTATGGGCGACCAACAGATGCCAATAGAATTTTTGTCTCAGGTTTGGTATGACTGGACCCTCCAAGCCTACATAAAAGTGTCCCCAATCACCGTACCTCAGGTTCGGTTTGTGGATCCATCATAGCTATGGTCTGCTTGCCCGCATTTGGATTGGTCAACCAAGATCCCCCGGTGTTGAGCCATTACCATGTTGAACGCTCAGTTTTTTCGCCAGAAGCTGTTTTAGTCTGCAGGTCCAGGAGTCACTTGGCGAGTGATATGCACGCAGGCTGGGGAGTAGGACACCCCAGTCACCAGTCATCGCTCAAGTCACCAGGTTGTGTGACCAAACCTCACGAACCTAGGCGTAACCTGCCCCGCGCGCCGGAAGACCGAAGACCGAACACCAGGACATGATGACATTGGTGAAAGGACCACTCACATGGCTGGACAATAAGAGCTATACTGTACTACTGTAGGTGCAGTCAACAGGTATCTAGGACGAAGATGTAGTCAGCCGCACCGTCTTCCTTGGATGCCGACACAAGCTGACGTGGCGTTGGACCATTGGTGCAAAGCCAATGTGTCAAGTAAGGTCAAAACTGGGAGCGTGAACCATCGAACGGTGTGTGGCAATCAGTTTCCCGTCAAAGATGGGGTGGTCAACCCTAGGACCAGGCGTCACGCGCACACCTGCCCAGCCTGCCTTAAACCGTTGTTTGGTCGGGCGAACAATGCCCCAACAAGTCTTGGCATGTCCAAGACAAGAAAGCTAGGCAGAACAGGAGGACGTAATAAAGTGAGCACTGTGAAAAGCAATTCTGCTCGGCACCAGGGCTCGCAAACGGCGGTTGCGAAACGCATAGAAGCCAGGGAGAGGGCCTTACATGCGCAGGTCTGGTCGGCGCAATGTTGCTGCGGAGCGTTTGAGGCCGGGGAAACGACACCAAATATTTCTGCGCGTAACAGTGGCCGGAAAGGGTGCCAGACGGCAGCGGCCAGGATGTCTAACGTTGCTTTTGGATCCTGCGAGAGTTGAATGAATATACTCATCCTCCACAACATGTGATAGCAAGTGCACTGATCAAACGATGACACGCACAAATCAAGAAGTATGTACGACAGACCGCTCTGGTTCGAAGGAAAGACGCTTCGCATGGTAGCGGAGCCTGAGAAGCCTACCCCCCTTTGGGGGTAGGTGGAGGCTCACTTTTAGTCGACGCCATAGGTTTAGTGCTTGGGCCACGTCAAAAAGACCTAAGAGGTTCTTGAGGAGGAGTTCGGTCGCCATGTCTGGGCTTGGAGAGGCAGCTGGATCACCGTCCTCAGCTACAGGAGGAGGTGAAGGGGCCGAGATTGCGATGAGAATGGTTCAGGCGGCTGAAGCTGCCTCATTGGTTGCCAAGTCGGCCGCGGAGGCCTTGGTCCGGCGCAATGCCCTTTGGTTAAGCATCGCCCTCTTGCCATGATCCGCCAGGTCAAGGAGTCCAACGGCGTGGAAGCGTATCGTCTTCTCGTCCAAAGCTTGGAACCTACATCCAAGAACCGGGCACTTGGTCTTTTGACCATGATCTTGGAGTGGAAGCCCTTTGAGATGAAGAAGGGCAGCATCTTGGGGCAAGTCCTTCGGCTGGAAGAGGCCTTTGCCGAATACGAGAAGACGGGTTCGAAGCTTGAGGACAACATCCGCTTCGCCGTCCTGATGAGATGTGTTGGTGGCCAGCTCAAAACCTGACTTCAATTGAATGTCACGGAGTCCCAGGACTACCAGAAGCTTCGAGAAGCCGTCATCCAGTATGACAACGCCACGATGAGGTGGACAAATGTGATGATGCTTGGGGCTGAGGCCAGTGGCACGGATGGAGTGGTCCCCATGGAGATCGACAGGATCAAGGGCAAGGGCAATGACTACAAGGGCAAAGGAAAGGGCAAAGACTTTGACAAGAAAGGAAAAGGAAAGGGCGATGGCAAAGGAAAGGCCAAAGGGAAAGGCCATGGAAAACCTCAAGATTTTGGAGGCAAATCCCAATCAAAGGGCACGGGAAAAGGGGATGGCCAGAAGGGCCAGAAGGGCAAGGCCGAGCAGAGGACTTGCTTTACATGTGGTAAGGTGGGTCATTTCTCCAAGGACTGCTGGCAACGCCTTCGACAAGTCAGTGAGGAAGGTGGAAACCCCAGATCCAATGCCGAGACCGGAACAGTGGCATCGAGCACCACGACATCGAGCCCAGGGACGAGCGGGAAAGCAGGAACAGTGAAGAGAGTGGAAGAAGTTTCACCTTTTGAATTCAAGCATGAGCCCATGGTCTTTGACTTGAGGCCTATGTCAACGCCAAGCATGGACAGCAAGCAAATCAGGATGGTACAGTTCTTCTCCATCTCGGAGGAAAATGAGCCCAATGAGGAGCACGACAAGCTGATCTACCACATCATGGCTGTGAAGGAGCACTATGGATGCATGGGAAAAGAGAGTCCAGTGAAGGTGGTCATTGACTCAGGGGCTGATGCGACGATTTTACCAAGCTCCTATTTGGCCATTGGCACCGACCTGGATGAAAGTGCACCTCGCCTGCAAGATGCTCAGGGAATGCCCATAGAGGTTCGAGGGTACGAGCAGGTGTGCTTCATCTTCAGGACTGATGATGACAAGGAGGTGCAGATCTTCGATAAGGCCCACTTCTCTGACGAGATCAACCAGCCCATCATTTCCTACGGCAAGTTGATGGAAGCAGGCTGGAACATTGAAGCTGGGCAGGTGAATGGGAGCCAACATTCCATGACGTTTGGTCTAGGGCACAATGTTGTGAGGATCCCACTTCAGCTGCAGAACAGAAGTTTCCACTGGACATCTTCGTGCGGTGGTTGAGGAGCCGTCAGATCCTATGATGGTCAGGGTGCTGGAAGCAAAGCTGCTGGATGGCCTGCAAATGAAGCTAGATACCATTGGCTGGAAGCAAGATGAGGACAAGTGGATTGGGGTCAATTTGGCAAAGAAGCTGCAATCGCCGCAGTTTGTGGGTGAAACTCCTTCAACGATGGATTGGAGGAGGACGACATTGGTGAGAGTGGGAGGCCAGTGGCAGCTGTATGAGATATGTGAAAACCTCCAGGGGCTTGTGAACCAGGAGGAGCAGATTGCAGAACATCGAGGACAACACCCTGGTCCTGACAATACTCACCTCAGACGAGGTGAGCACTGAAGAAATGGGCTTCGAGGTCGAGACAGGCCTTGATCTGAGGCCAAGGGCGGATGAAGCCCTGGCGATGAGAGAGCATGAGATTCCCATGGAAGAGCCGCAGAGGATGGAGGATAAGGCAGAAAGTGCAGAAGCAGCAGCTGATGGTGGAGTGATCGCTGAGCGTGCAGGAGCTGATGAGCAAGAAGGACGCTTGGTGTTGGAGGCCGGATTGCCGGACCATGTGATTGTGAATGACATCCAGTTGACAGCCACGAGCAACTTGAGAGAACTTCGTGCAGCATCGCTCCCTCCTGAGGATCCTTCTGAATAGCAGGCATGCTATGGGGCTTCGAACTCGTCTCTACACC